CAGAATCCGCGGGATGGCGTAAATAATGGAATTGTGGGCTTAACGACATTCTGGCCTCATTACGTACTGTTTCTTCGACTGGCCGCTGCTCTTTAATAAGCTAGTCACAGCGTCATGAGAAATGCTCATGCACCAGCGCACTTGTTATTCACGTTCGCGTTGTCCCAGAACGGGACGCGAAATGTTCATGCTGGCATGCGACCAAGAACCGCCCCTGATCTGCGCAGCGGCGCGCAATGGAGAATAACAGCATCTTTCAGTCGTTTGCTAGCCGAGAATCCAATTTATTTGTGTGCAAACTCAGAAAAATGTTCTATATTTCTAAACTCATTATCTTACGACGCCATTCGAACGCTAACCGAATACTCGTTAAGTTCGTCGTAAAATGGCATAACCGCGTCACATGAATGCTACATTATACTCATTGGCACGTAAATACAAACGCGAAATAATATGGCGAGGCCACTGCAAGATCAAGAATCTTATACGAAATTATAAAATGAAGTAAAAATCTGCGCTGAAATACAGGTCCATAGTGCATATGGATGTTTTACGCGGTCTTTGAATATCACTTACACTTGCTAGTCATATATGTAAACTCTTTGTCCGATGTACATAGCAAAGACGCCACTTTGTTGTTAAATTATTTGCATTAATCCCTCGTGCACATCCAGCATTTATAAATCTCGTTAGCGCGTGCACACAAAGCAGAGTGAGCGTTACGTTATGTCTAATACCGTTTTCGTTTATGAGAGAGTTTAAGTAGAGAGCGTTATACCTCATGCTCGTCTTAGTCCAACAGCAGAGGCTTGTACTTGTATGGTGTACGATATTATATATATAATTAATTATGAGGTTAGCTTGCAAATCTACATAGCCTATATGGCTGGACTAATTTGACAAATCGTACACCATATTATGTTTGCGCATTCGGTATGGTAAGTTTGTGAATTGTAATATGTGATTCGTGAAATAGTATGTGGTTAGTTTGCAAATCTACACATGGTTGGACAAATTTGACAAATTGTACACCATAGGCTTGCTTACCCGGAGGCGACTGAACGAGTATATATAACCTGCACACATATAGTGGTATAGTAACGAAGCTAACGATAATCCTCCGTTCTAAGAGGGGAGTTCTACTTCTACGTTAGGAACGTGCTGAATCAGAGCCTATAGGCAGGCGTAGTAATTAATATTAGGTCGTTGGCCACGACCTATAAGTTTGTGGCCTGCATATTTTGAATATGTAAGGCAGCGGTCTGGTGATATTGCTTGGTGGTGCTCGGTGAGCGTGTGATTTTTCTCCATGATTACTCGACCCGCCTACACGGTGTATGCACGCTAACATCTTACTTTAATTAAATAATTTTTACAATTAAAGCATTTCACGCGTATAATAACTCCACATATGTGATCCTCTTATAACTTTATTCATTTAATTACCAGTCAGAGAGAGAGAGAGAGAGAGGCGAGCTGAGGTAGAGGCGAGAGAGGGAGAGCGAGAGAGAGAGAGCAGAGGGGAGAGAGAGAGAAGAGAGAAGATGAGAGAGCAGAGGAGAGAGAGAGAGAGAGAGAGAAGAGAGAGAGAGAGAGAGAGAGAGAGAGAGAGAGAGGAGAGAGATGAGAGAGAGAGAGCGAGAGAGAGAGAGAGGGGGGGAGGGAGGGAGAGAATGATAGATAGATGGATAGAGTGAGAGAGAGGGGAGGTCCATCCATTTATCCATCCAGCCGTCCATCCATTCATCCACCCATCCATCCATTCATCCGTCCGTCCATCCGTCCGTCCGTCCGTCCGTCCGTCCGTCCGTCCGTCCGTCCGTCCGTCCATCCATCCATCCATCCATCCAGCCATCCATCCATCCATTTATCCATTTATCCATCTATCCACACATCGATCGATCCATCCACCCCTCTCGGCCATTCGGCCATCCGTCCGTCCGTTTATGTATGTTGTATACCTATATAAGAAGAACAAGGCATTTATGTCTTTACAATTAACATCATTATTGCTTAAGGTCGAGCTGTCGAAAACTTTTACGCGCATTAGTATCATTGCGTGTAATTGTCGCAGTCATTTTGACGTAGTGTGTATAACAGTGAAATATACAGATAAACAATTGAAAGTTACTAGCCTACGTATGTTGCGCGCGTTTTAATATATGGGTAGATGTCATTTATAGTCACTTTATATCTATCAACAGTATCCGCTGGCATTAACGTGGAACCGCCTGCCAACGTATTGAGGTGATGATTTTTTTTTTAGAATAAACAAGATTTCAATAATTATCAACGCAAATACCCCATAGTTTTGTTATATTTAATTCCTCTGCGGGTGCAATACTTGCTCACAGGGCACCAAATACATTAAACGGCTATAATTTTATCATTTGCGCAATGGGGATTTGTCAGTGTTAAATTCATAAAACGCAGATCTATTAAAAATAAAAACGAGTATACATGCAATGCGCAATAGATTGTGTGCACATGCGTGTGCGTGTTCGCGTGCACGTGCGATTCCACATGTAATGTTGAGGGCAAAAGATGCTAGGCTTGATAGTAGCAAAGGTTTCCCTGTCATCTGGCATTGCAGTGCTAAAGCACATTTGTATTATAGATCAAACATGCATGTCGCACAACATCATGTGGATTGCCTGTAACTATTGTACATAACTCTTAGCGTACGGGGTTTAAAGCATGGCCGCAGCAACAAATGCTTTTGTGATTTGGTTTTTACAGTATTAATATTTGCATATCATGGTTATGATATTTGCTAGCGGCGGTTCAGTTTTATTTAGTATAATGGATTTCGCTTTGCGCATTCTTGGTGGCGAAGAGTTGGAATCGCAATTTCAGTCGTCATACAGCTGGCGCCGCTGCGAAATAGAATCAACTCAGGATATTACGTCTCGGTTCTCCAGAATGAGACAAATTAAGTCATGTAGATTGCGTTTTTGTCACGAACATGAAAAGCTCAGCAATAATGGGAAAAAGCTCGCAGCGACACGAAGCGAGACTTTTCCGGTTAATTTTCCCGCAGGAACTGTAAACGCGTTGTGCTCGAATTCGATTTTACGTGCTGTTATTATCATATATACCAAGACGGCGACAATAAGGTGACTGCACGAGATAAGCGTCAAGGGCAAACTAAATTCAATTATGACAGTGTTATTCAACGTGTTTATTCTTCCCCGTCACTTCATTAGACCAGCCGTCATTCCGAGAGAAAACATTATCTGCAAACTTCGTTATCGAAATTTGCATGTAGTTCTTGGCAGAAAACTATATATCTGTAGTGGATCCTTTCTCAATAAAAACGCGTGACAGAGCTTCGGCCGAATATAACCCGATGTAGAAACCCCGAGTGTCTACATGCATGATTCACGCAGAGCGCCAATTTGTGACGCTTTCGGTTCAACGTTTCAAATCCTTGACGAGTTAGTTTACAATTCGTGAACATATCAAAAACGTAGCTGTAGATTCTTTCTGTTTAATATGATATCATTCTGCTTGCATGTGACATAATTATATTCAACACGGACATGAAAGATTAAGTTTTATTTAGTAGCAGCTATGCGCCAACAATTACTCATTTCATGAATCTTGTACCCATGTTATAATAGGCTTATGAAACTATTTCGCGAATAACCCAAATTAATGATTTGTGAATGAAACATGGTTGGGCTAGTATTGATACTAGACTCATTACTATACATTTTGCTGCCAAGATTATAAAATTAAGCTCATGGCCATTCGCCGGAATGACGTGATCAGTCTCATATCTTGTCTCCAACACCCATTACTCACACGAAGCTAGTTCTTAAGGGTTCCACTTAAACGTTAAGGCGAGTATACCTCGTTCTTGCTTTACTCGATTACCAGCTCCCATCCATGGTTGCTCAATTTACCCATACACAGGCGTATCAAAGCGCGCCTAAAAACACTATTGTTCTTCAAAAGAACGTTTATGCTTCAGTGCAATTTGAGGAAATCTAACCCTGGTATCGAAATAGTATGCGGGAATTGTGGGTTAATTAAACTCCGGATGTGTCGACCAAATATTAATATGTTGTGCGCATACCACTCTAACATCGCTGATGGCCAGTTTCTAGCTGTGCATAGAAACGAAAATTAATGCGGTCCACATTCTGGTCCAGAAGAGCTCAGAGATTCAATAACATGAATACAAAATATATTGTTAGTGAAGAAGGCTAATTTTAGCGAATTCTAAACGGAACAGTTGTTTCCCCATTTTGAAAATGTCGCTTCGGATAAAATATGTTTCTTACCGTTTAAGATAATGTAGCGAATTATAGATTCTGCCACACTGCTTTTGCAGCTGATAAATATGATTACACTGATTACCTCGTTGATGATGATGATGATGATGATGATGATGATGACGATGATGGTGATGATGATGGTGATGGTGATGATGATAATAATACCGAAGATGAACGTCCACCCGATATGCGCGCACGTTTGCGAAAATATTTATAATAACACATGTATATCACATGTTGCGCCCCGTTTAAATTACCTCCGCCCCGATTAAATTCCACCACAATAAAAGTTTGCCAGCGCGGGAATCGATCGTCAAGAAGTACCATTCGACCAGGACACCCGGCGCGTGTATTTTTACAGTACCACGCATGCACTGAAGACAATACACAAGTACAAACAGTCAACCTGTCCCACACCCAACACTAACTGTACACCGACTCGGCTATCTTATATATACAAGAACCCCAAATATCGTCTATGGTGTGGTGGCGATTTTACGCATTAATTAGTGGTACGGTAAAAAAACACGCCCCCCTAGTTCCTCCCCCCTCCCCCTGTTTGAATTTCATCCTGGGGAGAACCCTACATATAGATATATATATATCTATATGTAATATACTAGCTGGGCTACCCGGCGATGCCCGGGATAAAGGAGAAAAGAGCTAGAATTTAGAGTTAATTTGATTTTATATCTGTCCCAAGAATTTCACTTGTGTTCAGCTCTGCAGTGCTTCTTGGTACACAACATTCTTGGTGTTGCCATTTTCAGAGAGAATGTAGAGGTTGGGGTTACCCACCCTGGAGCACCCCACATAGAGCTGGCCATAGGAGAACACTGGCTGACTGAGGTTGACTCCAACCACCTTGAGGGACTGGCCCTGGGCCTTGTTGATGGACATGGCAAAGCTGAGCTTGACTGGAAACTGCAGCCTCTTGAAGTCAAATGGCAGGTCTGATGGGATGAGCGGGATCCTTGGGATGAAGACATTTTCACCCTTGCCCTTGCCTGTCATGATTTTAGCTTCGATGACTCTGGGCATGAGCTGCTTCACTGTGAGCCTTGTGCCGTTGCAGAGCTTGGGAGCATCCAGGTTGCGCATTAGCAATATTGGCGTGCCGACCTTGAGCACCAAGTTGTGTGGTGGCAGACCTGAGGGCGCCAGGCTGTTGAGAAACTCGGTCAGATAGTGCACCACCTCGTCAGGATCAGGAACTGTGTCGATCGACTTGTAGCTCGTTGGGTCACCAGGCAGTTGCTCCAGCAGCTTGGCGTTGATGTCATCCACGGCCAAATTCTTGGCAGCAAGGATGACTCGCTCGCTCAGCCAGTCTTGGTCTTGGTAGCGGAGGTGGAGGTTTGGAAACACTTTGGTCATGAGCTGGGTGATGTCCGTCGCTGCTTTGCCGAATGGCAGCTTGACTTGGCCATCGGCTGTGGTGGTGAGTCTGCCATTGCCGACCTCAAGCAGTTGCTGAGAGAAGCAGCCAGCTTCTTCATCGCCGCTGAGCTGCACCCTGTGGTAGTGACATTTGGAGGGCCTCCAGCTTTACTTTGCCTCCTGTGCAGCACATGCCTGGAGCTTCCCCTGGCCACTTCTTGGCAGAGCAGTGTCTGCAGATGTTGTCCATCCTGCCAATGGAGACCTTTGGGTTGGAGGTGTAGTCTTTGTTGAGGTCGTAAGAGAACGCTGCGTTGAGCCATGAAATGTTGTCGTCAGTATGTTGCCTAGCCCTCCTTGCCTCTGCACGTGACCTCTGGTGGGTTGCGGCATCACTTGTTTACACGAGTTCGCGCTGTTTGGCATTCTCTGCAGAGCGTGCTGTTTGATGGGCCAGTTTCTTTGCCCTTAGGCCATGAGAATTGAGGTATGAGTTTCCCGTCCACCGCCCGCATGCCGTCAGAGCCACCGCCGAAAATATTCATTATTTCAAAAGTATTTCATTATTTTCATTTTTAAATCATTAAAGCCCAAGTTGTTCATTCAGAGCGATTAAAACATACATTAATACCAAGAGAATGAAAAATCCGGTTTACCGTCCAAGGAATTTTAAAAAGTGATGAGGCTTTTTTTCATTAT